CGGCGGGGCTCGGAGTGGCGGCGCACGGCGGAGGGGCTCGTGGTGGCGGCGCGGAGCGGGGATGACGGTGCGCGGCGGCGGAGGGACGCTGGGACGGCGCGCGGCACCGCCATCCCAGCGGAGGGAGGACGGAAACGGTTTTTTTTCTTTCTTGTTTTTAATTCAAACTAATCATTGTTTCTAGTTCGAACTAATCGATTATTTTAAATTCAAAATGTTCATATTTTTTAATTTAGTCATTTTTAATTCAAACTGATTGTTGTTTTAATTTGATCTGATCACTCTTCTTAATGCAAACTGATTTTTAATTCAAACTTACCATTATTTTTAAGGTTTGCAAATTATAAGGTGGACTTCTCTAGGCCTTTTGGCTAGTGAACTTTCTTCTATAATCTTAAGAACTGATACAATAGATACGTTTGAATTGTTGCTTACAGAAAATGGGCCACTCTTGCTTTACAAAGTGTTACGAAGAGTACTACAAAGATGACTATAAGATTTGTGAATTTAAGGTTTAAGTTGTACTGATCGACATGGACAGATTTGCTACGTACAGCTTATGGAATTATACAATATACAATATTTCAGCTTTTTATGCCATAACTACAGATTTGCTACGTACAGCTTATGAAAAAGTCTAGCGGCGCCACATCTTTTTCTGTTGACTTCTTGCTATGTTTGAACGTTTTATTTTGATGGAAGGGCGTGTCACCCGGAACATCTTCTCGCTGCCTTCTCTTCCTGCAAAATAATTTTAGCACTACTTGCTGACCTAACACAACACAACATCAGCAGCAATCGCCCTGAGTAGTCCACCCTCCACATCTTCCCCTTCTACTTTTGAAACAAGAAAAAACGATGCACATATGACACTCTCAGGACCTCCTCCTCTTCTTGTCCTTGGAATTGTCGCCTACGTTCTTGACATGCAATGGAACACAACACCATCAGCCATCACAATGGATCACATCATAGAAAAACGAATCCAATTTTAGCAACCATAGTGGGTGGAGGATGAGTAGACGAGCAAGGTGGCTAGGGTGTTTACCATGATGATCAGGACGGCGGCG